ATGTGCAATTTTCTGTATTTTCTAATAATCGGCTGAGTTTAATTTGCTTAAACCAGTAAACGAAGACCCTCGCATGGACCAGTTAAGCTTATTGAAAATAGCTAAATGGTGAATCATGGCTTGTCTGCCAAGTTGTAACTGATCTTTTGCTTTTAAGATCTTTAGGTAGGTTGTTTTGGCACAGAAAATTCATTTCTTCATTGTCAGCAATAACTTTTTGAAATAATGTAACTTTAACTTTGTTTGAAGGAAATCCTACTTACGCGTAGGTTTTTGACAGATGTTATGCGTTTTGGACTTGACAACACAAAGCAAAATTTATATATCTTCGCGAAATGAGCAAGTTTAAAAGACTATAGTTGCCTTCAAATCGATTTTTGGGAAGATTTTACTAGATAAAGATTGACCTTTTTCTGCCCACATATCAACGAAATAACTTAGCTTCTACACTGAGGATGTTGTTTATATTTTAGTGATCTGTGAAACTACGAGGGTCCGATCGAGCGGGATCTGGGCAAAAAAGTTTGCGCATGCTCATTACGTTTTTCCGCCCTGAAGGTTAGGTGCTAGGGCGAAAGAAACAAAGGGGGGTAGGGGGAAAATACTCTCTTTCTCTTCTCTCGCCCCGTCCCCTCCCCTCCCCCTTTGACTCCCCTCATTTCTTCCTCTAATTTGGAGTTTCAACATGGCACTTTCGCGAGCAAAAAATTTCGCGCGCCTGAAGAAAACGCCTACACTGCGAGTGCTATAAGCGTTAACCACGGTGTACAGATTTATCCAGTGGATAACATTAGCTAGAATCTAATCTCGTACCCAGATCTCTTGTTGAGGAAACCGGAGGCAAGATCTGGTCAAGTAAAAAAATTCAATTTTTTGATCGGCTAGATTGTGAGCGAATGATACTGGTGTTGTCTTCTGCGCGCACTTTGCGAAGTCTTTCAGTTCTGTTCAAATAAATATTTTCACTTAACAAGTGGCTTTCCGTCTCAAAAACTTCTAAAACCACTTATCATTTTTATCTTTAAAAACGTATCTCTAATTCTTTGTTTAACACGTCGAAAAAAGGTCGCGATTTTGAGGATTTATTTCGAACATACGCTTTTTCATCGCCTGTCACAGTCCTGACAGGTGATCACTTGCACAAAACGGCTTTATTCATCAACAAGAGATGTGGGTATGAGATTAGCTCACTCATAGCATCATCAACTTTTTGAACAATAAGGATCAGGTTGTTGTTTTTATTATTATCGTTTTTCTTTTTTTTTAGTAATGAAATGTGACAAAACATATTCACCTGGATTCTGCGCAACAGCGTACAAAATGCAAAAGATGATAACTGTCAAAGTTCTCATACTGCAAGATTATCTAAAAAATAATTATCACAATGATAACAAATAAAATATTACATAACAAGTGGAAAAATAGCAAAGATAGATAAAAAGATAACTAAAGCTAAAGGAGTTAAAAAATTACCTCTCACAGTTTATATTTGGCGAGTGACACTAGAACGACTGACGGCTTCACAAGCCGGGAGGGTTTTTATATACACCCGACTACACGGGTATGTGTCGCAGAACTGGATATGGTTTCCAGGGTCTTGGATCTTGGACAGATTTGCAAGTTTCACTATTTAGCGTCTTGAAGAGGGTCACTTTAAGGACCGCAGACCTTTCAAAGAATGTGAAGGCCTTGCCGAAAAGCGGTCGACTGTGTTGTACGAACATTTAATTTGTCCAAAACAGAAAAAGGAATTCCATGTTCCATAAAGTTTTTTTAATAGGTTAATTGAGGTATTCATGGAGGGGGACGTATATCTAGTCTGAATTTTATCTGCGGTCTTTTCGCGTTATTTGACTCTGCGTGCGGAGCGAAATGAATCAGGGGCAAACCTCCACCCTAGTTTTCCTTGAGTGCCCCCCCCCCACTGCCCCCCCCTTACCTCGGCGGCTCCGGAACAACACAAAGGCTTCCCTGTCTCTTTTCGGTGACCTTTCACCGACTTCGCGTTACTTTCTGCTTTGTATTTACCACTACGTATACGTACTTAACCTCTAAAGGGCGGTATTGTTTAGAAATTTTTGTAATTGAAAATATTCATCACAGTCAAGTCTTCGTCGGGAACAACACTGCCATTGTATTCACTCGGGATGTCGCGCTTTAGTTCGGCCGAACTGGGAACCTTTCATGTGTAACCCTAATTCTGACGAAAAGGTTGTTTGTTTGCCGGGTAATGAAATTAAATAACGTAAAATTAGAAATCTCACAAGAATAACCATTGAAATTCCCAAATCGTGGGGTGCTAAGGAGAACGGAAATCTCAATGGTTATGACAACGATAATTAACTGAACTCTCATGACTGTGTAATTTCTCGTCACCAGGGAGGATATGAGCAGTAGGTACGTGCCTACGTTCTATCGTCAAAGTAGCACAGCTTCAAGTTATTTTCTGAGAAGTTCTTCGTTACAGTTTTAAAATTCTAAAATGGAGGATGCAAATTAAGTCTTGTTCACTATTTTAGCCCCGTTCGTAAGGCTATCTGAAGCTTGAGACCAGCGTGACAGGCCTGTCAGATAATATATAAAAGTAGAAATTCTCACCGTGCTTTTTACTCCAGTGATATACAGCTAAGTATCTTTTCTACGCACTTGATAAACACGGCTGGATACGGCCCAGGTTTCGTTTAGTAGATTCAGCGGCAATCAATAAACTACGTACTGGATAAAGCCGCCATCCGAGTGGGATCACTTCAATGATGTAACACGATAGTCCTGGCTGCTCCTGACCACAAGATCATCGGCTTTTAAACTTACAAGTTTACGCTCTCGCTAACATAATGTCGTGGCATAAGCATGCTACATGCGATGATGGAATAATATTTTTTGGCAATTTAATGTAACACCGTTTGCATACTGAAGCCTTACTGGAAAGACTTTAGAAAATGATTTCAATTATTTTGGTCATTATCAGTGGCTGATGGTAAAGGGAGGATTAGGGCTCATTGGATTGGACTTCCTGACCAGCTCTTTGTTTTCTCCGCTGCCCTCTACTCTACTGCTATTTGAATTGACTAAGTCAATCTATAATCAGCGGACATTAACGGACACATTTTAAAAACTATACTTGAAGGAACACGAACACGATTTCAAACCATGCTAGTATAGCAGGTAGTATATGTGTATAGTATATAGTTACTTGATTTCAGTTGATGTAGAACTGCTGTCAGAGTGCTCAATAGAAGGACTTGAGCGAGAATACCGAAAGTACAATGTTTTATCAACTGACGATTTGTCTAGGCATTTTATTACTATGTAGTTTCGTACTACATGATGGTGTAGTGCTCTTCAGGTAAAATAGCCTAATGTCGGGAGCCTGCAGCTGATGGTAGATTACAATTACTACGGATACAACGCTGTTTCTATGGGATCTATTATGTAACAGAAGAATTGAATTTTTTTCAACAGAAATTTGCTAGCGGGTCTACACGAAGATACAAGCTCGTTGCGCTTGTTAAGAGTGGCTACATGGGGTTTACAGATTGTAAAATATTTCTCCCACAGACATAAATTACACCGTTTGGAAGAGGGGTTGTAGGCGATATCTTGCTTCAAAATCTTCGAGGTGATCCGGAAGTTAATGTTACTGTCTTTAAGGTTCCAAACATGTTTACTCAGCTCGATGCTCATTCTTTTGCTGTTATTGTTGAATGATGTTTTGTGGTTCACGAAGCGGGTCTGAAAAGTGTTTTCAGATAGTCCAACGTAAGCCTCGTCAGGTTTGTTGTCCTTTGTTGTTACGGTCGCTTGATATACACCTATTTCAATTAAGGTTGCTTCAGAGAAGAACGATGCATGATCCAGGTTTCATAGCCCGCGATGCATTACTGTAGCAAGTCCCCGGGGGGAGGGGGGCACTGCCATATATGGGCTATATAGGTATGTGCCGCTGTGAAGGGTATGGTTTTCAAGCAGTTTACTCTAGGATAGGGTATATAAAAACCAGAGCGTTTGGGTCTAGAATAGGGTATCATTTTTCTGGAAACTGATCAGTTGGTTGAAGATTTTATCTAGACTAGGTAAACAGCTACTCTAGGATAGGGGGATTTGGGGAGTTTACTCTAGTATAGGGTAGCAAAATTCAGCTGAACTAGCTCTGGTATAGGTTAAGGGTTCCAGGGTCCCAGCGGCACATCCCCACCCAGAAATTCCCTAAGTGCCCCCGGGAGCAAGTCTAGTAAGCTTTTGCACCCGCAACGAGCAGCAAACGCTGCTGACGCTTCTATGCTATGTCAGCAGAACGTTAAGACGATGTATTTCAAAACAATGAATCCTAGGCTTTTTAATTTAGACATTTGAGGTTACATTTTTCTCTGTGGTAATATGCATGCAAATGCTGCAATTTTTCAACGAGTTTTCTTGGCTCATGCTCGTGTATGGTTTTCTGCGCGTTACCTGTACAATTTTTGTGACTCGTTCATATTCATGCGCGACCGTAAAGTGGATTTGTTGTGACAGCCGATGTTTTGTTAGTATTAAAATTGATTGGCCAATTTATCACCTCCTGATTGGTTAACTAATTAGCTAATCCCTGATGATTTCGTCCGGTAAAGGAAAGCATTTCGAATAGCGCTTGTAGAATGTATCATAGCAAAGTTTACTATCACGTTCATGTTTCTTCTATTTTATTCTAATTTCATTTAATGAAGGCTAGGTCATGTTTGTAGTCTGAACCACGAGAATGCAAGTAGAGATTTGTTCGAAGTCTTCTTTTAAAGGGCTGGATGGGAGCGGGGGGCGGGGGGATGAGGCAAAGGCAATTTAAAAAAAATGATAAAGTTTTCCACAGGAAATTATTAATTAAAAAAAATATATGCCAAAAGAAGGAAAAAAAAAGATTTCCACTTTACATGTACACGGTCTGTCACGCTAGTCGTACCATGACAGATATGTCAAAATTGATACCGCATACGAATAAACATTCTTTGGTTGCTTCTCAGGTTCCAGATTCCTCGCCTACGGTCGGAACACTTTCGATTCGTTGCACAAACTTGTCGTGGCCAAAGCGTCTCCTTTTGCATTATTTGCACGACTTCGTGGGCTGTTTTGCATTTGTCGATGCTGATACTAGAAATGCAATGAGCACCAGACGATTAATGCCAAAACTAGATGAACTTTACTGTTTCAGTGCAGTTCCGGAGTTAATCAACAACAATCTCCTGACCGTTTGCCGTCGATAGTCATCGATCTCCGCTGTAAGTAGAAACTTTTTCAGCATTTCAGATAATCAAGGTAGTAAATTTTACATTTAGCACTCCCCTTGATTCGAGATCAACAATTCAAAAGACACTAATTGTGCAGTGGATCCACTTCCGGCTTTGAACTGATTCGTCTGTGGACCCTTCGGACCGTTGTAACAGCACGTTAGCGTTCATAGTACTTTGTTTTTTGGCCGGAAAGACAAATGAGCCTCCAATAGAGTAACTTTAAGAACTTTCGTTGATGCCGGGTTTTGATTAACGAGAAAACTAGAGCGAGTTTTCATGTTTAACACGTGAACATTTGTCAACTGAAAACGAGCCTTTAACACGATTGTCGGCCATTTTTAAGAAGGATAAACAAAGGCCGGAGAGGTGCTTTGCAAGCACTTCTTAGGCAGAACCGAGTCACAACGATGTTATCCGGTTTTCTTAGTTTCTATTCGAATTGTAAAACAACGCAAGTTTAGTTAGATTAAGATCAAGAGTACAGTATAGGAGTCAAACCAATAGAGGAATACACCATACTAATCAGGCCTACTCTCGGACCTTAACTCGCCGCGAGATTGTGCGAGCTAATGCGAGTTTAGGCGAGATACGGAAAAATTGAGCTCGCCTATCAGTTGCAAGTTTGTGCGTGTTAAGGCGAGTTAAGGCTAGTTAGGGGAAAATGATCCACCTTATGTTGAGGTTATAAGGGTTAAAGTTTATAATATGCTTTAGTAATATACATATAAAGATGCCTTGCAATCTTTGTATGTCTTATATATATAGTAGGCTCCATGCATGTTGTCCAGTTAGGAAAAAATTAAACAAAAAATTTCAGATGAGCTCCAAAGTTGAATGAAGCCTAATCTTGTTCACATTTATTAATTGAATTATTTTCCTAATTGGACAAGCTTAAGAATGGATATGCTAGTGATATGGAGTCCTGTTCTTTATTAATAGACCTTGTCACGGTTTTCGACGCCATCTTGACGAGTAGTCAAACGCGTGAGAAATTACAGTGTTTGTATGAGAATCCAATGTCGAGTGATTTCTGTAAAACGACTTTTCTAAAAAAAATATGAATTTTAAACTAGAGCTACACGGCAAAGGATTTTACTAACAAATTTTGTGAGCCGTTACTGTGCTTAAATTTCTCCAGAAGCTTGCTTTAGATTTTCCATATATTTGTCTGCAATTTTTCGTGGGAAATTTTTACAGACAAATGTATAGAAAATTTTAAAGAAGGTTCTAGGTCCTCTAGCGCATGTGACGCCCTCAAATTTTTTCAGTACAATCCTTAGGAGTAAAGCTTTAGTTTACAATTCATATGTTTTTCAAAGCAGCCGTTTTACGGAAATTTTTCGACATTAGATTCTCATACAAACACTGTAATTTCTCACGCGTTTGCCTACTCGTCAAGATGGCGTCGAAAACCGTGACAAGGTCTATTATATATCATTTAGACACCAAACTATACCATTTGGTGGCTGTATCATAATAATAATCATCGTTATCATCATGATATATTATTTATTAAAGCTATATAATATTTTTGCAGAATAATAAATTACCAGTAGTGAAGAAAAAAAATGAAAACAAAACAATCATGAATTGATTAAAAAAAATGTGGCTGTAGTATAAGCACAGGAAGGATATTTTATTTTATTTATTTTTGAATCAATAAAACTGTTTTAATGGCAGGGCTTCTGATATTTCGCGCGGGTCGCGGAGCCGCGAAATTCACAAAAACACGCAAAATACTGCGAAATTCGGTAGAAATCTTATCAAATACATGTCTGTACAGCAATTTTGAAACTTGTCTCAGCTACTGGGGGTATTTACTTGCCGTAAACTCGCAAATTCATGTCACAACTTCGTCACTGAAACGTGGAAAGAACGTTCCGAAACTACCAGGCGTAGATTATGTTGCGAAAAACTGGGCACTAGCCATGATGTTAAAGGCTTATCTGGAGCGTATTGTTGTTGAAAGAGCAAATGATGACTTCTGTTAAACGCTGGTCTGATCAGCGGAAAACCGATCGATTTCTAGCGAAATTTGCCCACAAAATAACCACAACATCCGCCGTTTTTTTACCGATTGCTTACCGGCCAAGTTTGCCCCGAAAATTACCGCGAAATTCCCGCGAAATCGGCAGATTTTTCCGCGATTTTGTCCCTAAAAATGCCGCGAAATTTGACTTTTTTTCCGCGACCTATCAGAAGCCCTGTAAATAGGCAGGTGAGCATAATAGGTATCACATGACATGTCATCAATTGTTATCACTAACTCCAAAATTGAAAAAAAAAAATTGTAATAGTCTGTGTCAATGTTCTTCAAAGAACTAGTATAAAAAACCGGGTAAGCTGAAGAATTACATCAGCTGAGGAAATTTTTATGACACAATCAATTTTACTGAAATGAAATGACATTTCTTTACCCCTTGAAAATTATAAAACTTATCTTTAAGTCTTCCATTTGATCCATTCTCTCCACTTCACTGATGGTTTCCCTTGGAATCCAGCTCAATTGTTTGTTTTCACTGCCAGAAATGATTGCCTTTTCGTTTCCTCGGATAATCTATGTTAATTTCTTGCAAATGAAGGCTGATGCCTTTTCGCAAAGACAGTAGTTCCCGTATTTTAGAAACTCCCTCCTTTAAACTTGGACAATCCTGTGAGAGACACCTTGATTTCTACAAAAGAAAGAAGGATCAAGTTAACTGGATGGTAAACTCTTTATCATTCTCAGCCTAGCAAAACAGCAAAAAATAAATGACCCCTTTTTCTGTTCAGGCTTACTTATTTTTAACAAAGTGCCAGAAAGTGTTTATAGTTGTGCAGAGGACTATACCATATTTAACTTAACTTGTTTAACAACAAAACAATCTCCACTATCGGCTTTGTCTTCCAAACTCTTAAGAGTTGTCGTCACTGATGAATCTTTCCTGCTTCGCATTTTTACAAAATGATCACCGGCTCAGGCGTTTTGTGCGTGTTTTCATTGTCACGTACGCCACATTGAAGCTTAATTGCTATACCTAAAACTTGCCAGTGGACTGGGATCAACAAGGCTTTTACAGAGTTAACGTTGCAAGGGTAAAAGGCTTTAGCTTAGCTTACCTGCATGTGATACATTTCGAAACTTCTTGATTTAACATCAAGAGTTAATTTGCACAAGTTCTTCTCCTTTTGTTTTCCCGTCCATCTTGAAAATTACCCAGAATGCATATCGAGGACAATAGGCCGAGCGAGAGGGCCCTGGGAAGATTCAAAGGTGCCAAAATTGTACCTTAATTCAGTTAAGGGCTAAATGTAACAAGTCTTTACGAATCATGCCTGGGTTATGGTTGCCAGTCTGACTACAATGTAGGCCATACAGGATGTCACGTTGACCCAATGTACAGATCTTCTAGTACGAGGTAAATATTTATAAGAATTATTTATAAGAAATATAGACTGCAATCAGTATGTGGAGTATTTAAAGGATTCTCGATTCTGGCTACATCCCGGCTAGCCTTTCTTTGATGATTGTCAGCTGGAATCCTCATTAAGCTTCATCAGATTATAAGATGATACGTATGTTACTACTCTTCATGTCATAAACAGCTTGCATGCATTACATTTGCAAAGTAATAAACTTTAAACTTTCCATTACAAGTAAACTTTTTTCAGGGTTGTCACTAAGATTTCAAGTTGCCGGGTACATACAACAAGTAGGCGGGGAATCAAACGGCTAGGGATTTCTTTTGGTTCTATTTTTCTTCTATTTTCCAATAAAAGTAGCCGGGGGCCACTCTCTTAAGTAGCCGGGGAAAATCCCCGGCCCCCGGCTCTTAATGACAACCCTGTTTTTTGTAAATCATTAACCAGCTTAAAACTAAAATTTAATATTCTGGTATTATGTTTTTGTATTTCACTCTAAATTCGAGATTTCTTATTTTAAGCCAAAAATTAAAAACTAAATCATAGGATAATATTTTTTTTTTTCTTCAATTGAGAGATTCAAAGCAATCTTGAATTTGGAGTGTTTCTTTGTCTCCCGTAGAAGTGTAGGACTAAAACTTAAACTATTTTATGAAAACTTTTTTGTGGATTCACTGTTTGTGCTTTTAGTTAATGTCACTTACTTTGAATTGTGGACCAAAACACAAACCGTCAATGTGGGATTTGTAAGACCCTGTAACCCCATGCCTCTCAAATTACTGCCATGCTTATCATTGAGGCCTTTTCATTAGGCAACGAGTTAGTGCATGTTCAGGCTGTTCCTGGTAGTTCCATTGACAGTCCAGTTGTGATTCCAAGGCATGACAATGTTAAGTAAGAAAAACCTCACGAATCTTTAGTGGTGAAATACCCTTACCACAGAGGCTATTGGAAATTCCAGAAGGATGGGATTGGTCAATTACGTATTTTTCTAAAGGTTAAAAACCCTGTTTTCCTTAAAAATCACTATCTTTTAAACTTCTGAAATTTGTATTCTTTGGCGTCTTCCCTTTATGGAGTAATTGCGAAATTACACTGAGAGTAGGATGAGACATTAAAATTGGTATCCACTTGGCAGTGGCAAGAATTGGCAAGTTTGTGTGAGATAATGCGAGTTTAGGCAAGTTAAGGCAATTAAAGATAAGGAAATTTGAAGATAATCTCAAGTTGCGAGTTAGGGTAAGTTAAGGTGAGTTAAGGTCCCAGAGTAGGCCCCTAATCCTTACAGATCACAGAATTAGCTTCTCGCCGTAAATTTATATATGATTTACTCTCGACATTATTCATTTATAATCATGATTCCTAGGCTCAGGGCTGTGAAGTCAAAACATCGCAAAAAGTGAAGGTGTACCACATATCCCGGGTCGAACAAGCTTGATATTCGTAAAAATCAATTACTGAATCACTTTCTTAGTTTATATACACAAATAGTTTGCATTTAAATGTTTTCAACAACAGCTTCCCTACCCGTCTTGACAGTACAGCCATTGGAGCAGTAGAGATCACTAGAAAAAAGGGCCAAGGAACGTTCAATATACTCTGCTTTCACACAGGAAAGTGCATTGTCGTTAGCAGGTAATCTCTTCAGTTACTTTTGTAAATCCCATACCCCATATGAAAGGGGAACTGACAATATTGACAATATTGACAAAATGAACTAGACATCAACAGCTGTAACACATCTCCTTCAATCTGGTCCTTGCCCTGTTTGATTCTACTTGTTTGTCTGGAGTGATGCGCCTCTCTTTTCTTGCATTGTTGATAACCTCTGATTTTTGATATCTTATCTTTCAATTATTATTCGCTTTATTTGATTCCTAAGCCTCCCAACTAGAGAAATGAAAAAAAAAAAAGAATTGTCAGAAGAGAAATAGACTTATAGTATTCAAAACTTCTACCTGTAGTTTTATTAGTCCAGTTATCATTGTGTGTGTGTGGTTTTTTTTTCAAACTATCGTTAATAATTGATCTTTTTTTTCTTTCAGCCATGGCGGAAGACAGAGGGATCGACGCCACCTCAACAGTTGAAAAGGTATTTAAGCTGCTGCATACAAAAGTGTGATGGGTTGCGGTTATTACTGAGTTTAATTTATTGTACCCTTTGTTCTATTTTATCCCTCTGGCTGCATAATTTTATGTTAATTATTTTTTCTTTCTCTTAATTTGGTAATTTTGGAAGTAGATAAGTAGGGGAATTTTCTCATTGTTAAGGGTCGAACTTAAGAAGCTTTGTGGTGCCATTTCAACATGTCCATTAATAGAAGTATTCTATTGGGTCCTATTTCAGTCGTCTAAGATTTCCACTCTTCTCGAAAAGGAGCTCTTTTAAAGGAATTGTTTAACCCTTTTTTGGCTGGGGGTCTTTTTAAATCCCTGCCCCCTGACTAAATAGTTGAATGACTTCAAAACCAATTTAGCTATGACCACCAAACTTAGTCCCGTTTCCTAAACATTTTCGGGAACATTTTGATATCGTTGTGACGTGTATGTCAACACTGACGTTGCCATGGTAACTGAGTTTTGACAGCCATTTGTTTCAAAATTTGCTTTTTCCATATAAAAAGGGTATATTTTTATTTTTTCTTATTACGGTAAATGGCATTAGACTTAATTTAGGCAATATTTTACAAACTTATTTTAACTGTTAGTATAATCCAGGCTTTTTAGTGACCAATCTGCAAAAAATAAACATGAATTTAAAATGACCAAATAGAAGACAGGGCTCGAACTTGGCGGTGGTCTACTAGCCAAATACCAGTAGATTTTGATTTTTGGCTGGTGGATTTAGCTCATTTACTAGCCATCTTGGCTAGTTAAATTTTGCGCCTGTAAACAACATAAGCCTTGAAATGTTTTCAACATTTTCCCAGTTGATCCGCACCTTCTAGTAACCTCTTATTTCATTCCCCCATTAACAACTGGCATGAATAAAAGAAAGAAAAGTAATTCGACATAAGAATAATATTTGTTAATTCGGTTTTCAGTTTCGCGTTTATTCGCTGCCATCTTGAAATTTTGTATGACCAGGGAGCATGGGCCAAGCCATACCCATGATGCAAAGCTAGCCAAAAAACAAATGTCCGCCATCTTGAAATGCAAATCTACGATCACAGTACACGCTTGATTGTCATGAATATGCAGTTTTTATTAATGTTTGATAACAACAGGATTTTTGACATTTTAATTTTATTTTATGCTGTACAGAAGTGCCTAGACTAGTAGAAACACGTTTATGGCTAGTGAAGCCCGAGCATGTACTAGCCATTTGACTATTAAGTTCAAAAGTTAAGTTCGAGTCCTGGAAGATGTTTGGTTCAATTTTTAATATTGTTAATTTATCTCAGAATTTCACAACTTGGGGATTTCTTTTTTCTTCCTAAGCATCCTTTTATACAAAGATTAATTTTTCTACCACGATTACTTCAATTTACACGGGTCTACATTTAATTAGTTCAAATTGGCAGATTTATGATGGCACATGGTTACAGATCCTTCTGTAATAATAAAAACATATGACGTCATCATGACATCACTGCTATTGTTAAAGGTTATTTGTATTTGCCAACGTCTTGATTTTATTAGACACCTATGGAATTTGGATTCTGCTAATAAATTTGACAATATGACATCATAATGACGTCAAATTACGATGTTGGAAATGATGAGCGGCTGTCATGAGCAGTTTTTTTTTTTCCACAGCTTTATTGGGTACTCCTCTTGTAACATAAAATATAAATTTATACTACAACACACAAAAAAAAAGAAAAGAAAAGAAAA